GGGGGGGGGGGGGGGGGGGGGATCGGTCAGCCGCGCAGACACCAGGCCAAGCCACATGGAACTGGACTCGTGGGAGGCGCCAACAAACGGGGGCCCACGGCCGGCGAGGGCCACGCACATCTTCTCCGAGATCGAGAGGGCCGTATCATGGCGCAGCTTGTCGAAGAGCAGGGCCTCGAGCGCCTCGCGGTGGAAGCGGAATTGCGCCTGCTCGTGCTTGATCCCGCGCAGGTTGCGCAAAATGATCTCCAGCTGGGTCTCGGCCAGACGCACGCCATCGGTGATCTGCCCGAAGGTGACCAGCACGTCGGTAATGCTAACATGGTTGCCTGCGGGCGGGTGGGCATTTCAAATGGACGTGGTGAGCGGCCGACTGCGTGTGAAAACCCGGCGCAGGGACTGGACAGAGAAAGAGGGAGAGGGAGAGGGAGAGGGAGAGGGAGAGAGAGAGAGAGAGAGAGAGAGAGAGACGGGGGGCAGGGAATGGTGGCGCGTGACGCACGCGTGATGATCTCGTCCAGGGCCTTGCACGTCGAGTCCAGCAGGTTGGTCAGGAGGCTGGTCGATTGCGACGCATGGACCAGGTGGTGGGGGATGGCCTCGGACCGGAAGATCGGCATGACCTCCACGTCGCAGTGGTCATTCCGGAGCCGGTGTGTCTCCGAGTGGTAGAGGATGGCCAGGGAAACCTGCAGCGCGTCGTACTCCGTGTTGCCGGCATACAGCGGCTGGTAGAAGTCCCGGATGACCTTCTGCGAGTGGGTGTAGTGCGACCGGCCGGAGGGGAGGTATGACGAGCCGCCGGAGGCGCCGGCGCCGCCGTCATCCCCGCGGCCCCCATGGCGGCCATACGCCCCGCTGCCTGCGCCGCCACCGGCCTCGTCATCCGAGCTGTCGTCGCCATTGTAGGCCGGACGCCCGGCGGTCGGGGTGGGGGCGGTCGGAGTCGGCGGCCCGGCTCGGCCCCGGCGGCCGAACTGCAGCCTCCGCACCGAGGAGGTCAGCGCGTCGGAAATCGGCGAGAAGGGCTGCAGCGCCGCCATGGAGGCCGACGCGAAGGCCGACGAGGAGGAGGAGGAGGAGGCCGGTGCCCCGGCGCCATCTGCCGTGGCGCCGCCATTGCTTCCATTCGCCGAGGCACTTCCCTCGCGCCGGAGGAAGCTCAGCGGCCGACGTGAGGCCGCGGGCCCGGCCGCAGGGGGCGCTCCGCCGGGCGGCGGGTGGCTCGGGGGCATGGCACGCGCGAGGCTCAAGCGGACCGGAGCGACGGGGGGAGAGGAGCCCGAGGGGGAGGAGCCGAGCCGAGCCGGGGAGCCGGAGCGGGATGGACAAAGAGACGGGGGG